AAAGTCTCTGAGTGGTCCATAAACCTCTGCTGTGCACCATACGCACGGATGCTGGCTGCACCACTGAGAGTCTCAGAGAAGTGGACGTAGATAGGAGAACGGGTGGTGGAGTCGATGCGGCGAATCTGGCGCGAGGCGGGCATATACACCCGCTGAGGAAGTATGATGAAAAGTTTCAATTTTCCAGGTTGTTTTATTGTTTTAGTAAGTTTTACGGTACTTGCAAGAAGGCGAAGAGATAGGGATGTTAGATGTTTCCAGGTTGTTGAATGACCTTAGTGCTCATGAGGTCCAGTTTCTTTTTCCATTATATACAAAAAACTTCATTCTTCTTTGTTCTAGTAAGAGTTTTGTGGCACTTGCAACACAAATAGTTCATTATAAGTGCTGAGGATAAGAGACGTTTCTGGAGAGTAACAGACAAAAAAAAGAAGAAGGAAGATAAATGTTTAATAGGAAAAAAGGAAGGAGAAAACCACACCAGAGCACCTATCAACCACCCACATACACACAACTCACCATCCCTCCTCTTATATCAGAAGTAAAGTACGACAAATGGGATAAAAACTCTGATCATGATAAGAATGATATAAATATGATAAACTCTCTCTCTCTCTCTCTCTCTCTCTTTCTCTCTCTCTCTCTCTCTCTCTCCCTCTCCAGCTCTCTCAGACACACGTCACATACATCTACACAAACTAAACAAAGAAAAGTTATTATTAATCAAGGAGACGTTAAATTTGTCAAAATGAAAAAAAAATGAAAGTACATGTTTGAGAAACATCAAATCTTCAAAATTTCAACCAAACCAGTACACCCACCTGTATCAGAGCGTAAAGTATGACAACAGGGACGATGACACTGAGCACAATGGGTGTACTATAAGCTATGTTGATTATGGCAATCAACACCATCCCACCACTCCGAATGAACTGACGTAATGTATTGGGCAGCGTTGAATCCAGCACGTCAACATCTCGTGAGAAGCGGTTGATGATGCGGCCTGGGGGTATGATAGGATAGAGTAGTTATCATATAAAAGCACTTTTCCTCTAATTAAATTTGTTCTTTTAACTCACTTGAACCTGTCGCCGTGTTTCGTGGATCGAAGCGTGCGGTTTAAGGGAGTGACTGTATGTTTGTAAGTCTAAATTATATAGTTTTTAAAAAACGTCATATGACAGAAGTGTGCTTTTGAGTAAAGTGTGCTTGTGTATGGTGTGCGTTTAGGCGCAGATTACTGTAAAATCATCTATCGCAATGCGGGGGTGCCTTATTTAATCTGTTACAGCTCAAAATGTATCGCACATAACTTCTCCAAATCTTTAATGGAACCAACGATTTAGAGGGTTAAATATTGGCTCGCCGCTTCTCGAGTAGCTTGTAACCGAAAAACACAGAAGATATAGATCGATAAAGCGCATCCTGTAAATATACGTGATTAGGCCACCGGATTGGCGGGCGTCCGTAAATACACATCAATAGGCTCAAGTGAGTTCAAACTGTACAAGTAGCCTACTTACATTAGGGAGTTACTAAGTTTTACAAACACACGTGCACACATACAAATTAACAATCAAACACGTACGTTCACAAGAGTAGGCCTACGCACCAGTATCATGTTGGGATTGATTACCCCCCCCCCCCTCAACCACACATGCACAAATTTTATAGTACAATAAAAATGCAATAAACAAACAGACCAACAGACAGACAGACAGTCACCTACTTACAGACACATACTCACAAACAGACTACCAAACATACACGTGTACCAAAAGTACTCACCGGCAACCTATTGTGTTGTCAGACAGACATGCAGACATGCAGACAAGCAGCCAGACAGAGATAAAAATACAGACAGACAGACAGCCAGTCACCTGCAAACAAATACACACTCACAATCAAACATGTACACTTACGAAAGTAATCACCTGCATCTTGTTGTGTTACAAGACGGACAGACAGGCTGACAGACAGACAGACAGACACACAGACAGACAGACAGAAAAACAGATAGACAGACAGACAGACAGACAGACAGACAGACAGACGGACAGACGGACGGACAGACGGACGGACGGACGGACGGACGTACGGCCGAATGGGCAGGCAGGCAGGCAGGCAGGCAGACATTGATACACATACACAAAGACACTTATAAACATTCAATCATAAATATGTATCCCTGAAAAACGTGCAAGCACCAGTGTACTCACCAGTATAATCATATTGTGTTATGAAATGTACAGACACACACACACACACACACACACACACACAAAATACGTCACAACACACGCACACACACACACATTCACACAAAGACACACTCACTGGTGTTAGTTTAAGTAGAGGTTTTACAGCACTCGCAACTGGTCTTACGTGTGCCAGAAGATTAGAGGTGTTACAAGAGAGTAACAAACATAAAAAAGAAGGGGAGATAAGGACAACAGATGTTTGATAGGAAAGAAGAAACAAACCTCACCAGAGCACCCGCCAACCAACCGCACTCACTGGTGTACTCACCTATTGGCGTGGTATCAAAGAAAGACATTGGAGCCTGCAGAACATGTGAGAGCATCACATTGTGTAACGTTCCAGAGGCAGAGACTAGTCGCCACAAGGCTGAAGCCGCAAATGTGTATGAGAATAACCCTGTTTGAACAAAAAAAAAGAGGGGGGGGTGGTGAGAAGTGTGCCGGAGGAGGAGAAGAAGGATGACATGCAAGAAAATAATATTATAGGTAATTATACGAAGAAGTAAAATGCGCTCTAAAATTCAAGGGGGGGGGGGTGAGAGGTGTGCAGGAGGAGGAGAAGAAGGATGACACATAAGAAAATAATATTATAGGAAATTATACGAAGAAGTAACATGCGCTCTAAAATTCAAACTAGGGGAAAAGGGTCAAGCTGATCAAGATGTGCGACAAACGTATTTTCTGTGCTTGCAAGCAAAATAAAGATAAAGGGTGCACTATCAATCGCTCTTAAGGCTCAGTTGAGTAAGTTAATAGATTCATTTGAGTTTGAATATTCAGTTTTAACTTTCCAGAATATGATTAGCAATCTGTTCACTTTAATTTAGATCTTTCTATCCAAAACTTCCAAAAAAACATGCCAGCCAAGGTAAAGGTTTGTTCTGTCAAGTGATAATAGTAAGAAATTGTATCAAACAATTCTAATTTTACAAAGCATTTGCGGCTGTCTGTTCATTTTTTTACCTTGCAAAATTAATTGTAAGAAAAAGCAATTTGGGCTCTGAAATTCGAACTAAGGGAGAAAAGCTAAGCCGAGAAAGAAATCCTACAATCATAATTTCCGTACTTGCAAACAAATCAATGTCAAGTCACTACAGAGAGAGAAACGTGTATAAAACAAGTTTCAATTTTCAAAGGCATTTGTGAGACATCTTGGAGAAATCAGGCACTCATCAGAATAAAACAATTGAAGAAACCAGTAGCTTTCCCCTCGATTGGCAATTTTTATCGATTTTTTTGTTTTTAGCTTTACACCTTTTGTCCATGTAAAAACACATTCCAGCGAGCAGTTCATTGTAAAATGTTCATTAAAGGCACAAAAATGTAATTTGCAGCTTCTAAGGACACTACAGATTTGGAAGTCTCCGAAAATTGGCGGTCATTTTCTCGCCAATTTTACCTCAGACACCAGCAAACTCCACCTTTCAATCGCAAGAGTCTTGACTGTTATGCAAGATAGATATGTATTATTTTCATCAAAATCAGGACAAATGAACAAGCTTTTAGATGAATCCGATAACTTCATTTGCCCAAAATCGATTAGTGCTTGATTCCACTGCGTCATGACACATTTGAAGCTACCACTTCTCACCTTGCAAAACTCCCAGCCCTGCATACAAGCCAATGTAAAGATTTGTCCTGTCTGTGTATTCTTCTGTGCCTATAAGAGATGTGTTAGCCAGATATTGGTCATCCGTCCACATGCTCAACCAAATGCTGCTGTACACTGTGACTCCCATATAGCATGCGTAGAGGACTAGGCTTAAAGAGAACGATAGGGGTCCGATGGCTTTAATGTACTTCCAGTAGACTTTTCTCCCCACCTGAAAGAAGAAACGGTGATTGTGTCAAATACATACGAAACTCCGTCAACTTATGTAAGACTAAATCAAAACGATGATGAGAAATTTAATACAAAGGAAAAGACTGGAAAAAAATAGTAAAATGGATGACAAATTGGAACATAGGTTAAAAACTTTACTTTTGTGAAACAAACCTGATTAGTTTTAGTAAGTGTTTTACGGCACTTGCAACACAATAAGGTCATATAAGTGTCGAAGATTAGAAGTATTACAAGAGAGTAACAAACATAAAAAGGAGGGGAGATAGAGAAGATAGAATTTTTATAAGAAAGAAGGAGCAAACCACACCAGGGCACCCGCCAACCACCCACGCAAACCTGTTGAACAGTAACTTTTTTAACCACCCTCAAAAACATGTAAGTCACTGTAATTGCTAACTGGACAAACCCATTGTGCCTGAGACTAAAGGTGCCCTTCTCAAACCCCCCCCCCCCTCCCCTGAGCTGAAGAGGGAAAGGCTATTGGTTTTCCTACTAGCCATAGCAACATCAGTTATTGACCGGTTACCAATTGATATAAAACCCTGAGAAAATCAAAGACAAGCTGGAAACACACTGCGGAGCAAAGCAACATGACGTTAGAGACACTGACAGAGGAAACAAGGACAGAAAAGGTTTTGCCTCCTTCACTTACCATGTCATATCAAAGAAACCCCTAAAACAAGGACTGTCTAAAAAAAAAAAAACTAAAATAGGCTTTAGAAAAAATACAGTAGACTCACCGTTCCAGTTTCCGCTCGCTCCTCTTCAATCAGTTTCTGACCAACCCTTGGTGGCTTCAAGCCCATCTTTTTCTCTGTTGGAGCAGCCTTGCTTTCTCTCCTGGCTTTGCCTTTGTGGCTGATGGAACGACTCAAGGACACACGACGATGAAGAGAATGGCTCAGTCTATGAAAAATAAAAGTAGGCACTTTAATATAACTCTTGCAGTTGGCATTTTACCATAAATTCTTGCATTAAAAAAGTCATAAAAAGGAGGGCTTTTCAGATTTATATCCACCTCTAACAGCATGAGTCGAGGAGTTACACGCTCCTTAAAAACATTTCACGTTCAGGAACAGATTCCAGCCCAGGCTGCTAGCACAGAAGACATAATGTCTTATCCAAAGAGTAAAAGGTGAATCGGAACTATAATGTCAATCAAAAGCTACAGTCTGTTACATTCCACAGCTCTCTAAAACACTCTTGGAAGCGCAAACAGACTACCCTTCATTTAACTCACACAAGTACATTTCAAGGTGAAAAACACTTTTTAAAAGCCAGAGATGAAGAAAAAGGAGCTCTGAAGTAACGAGAGAAACTGATGCAAGATGAAGACTTCATGATCGCATTCCACAGTAAACAGATTTTTCATTCAGCATATGTCTGTGTTGACATTGTGAACATGGAATCTCAATATGTTCTTCATACGGGTTACAACGCGGTGGAATCAGACGTCGTCAATTTTTGGGCATGTGGGGTTACTGGTACCATCTCATAGATCATTTATTTGCATTGCTTTCAATTAAATAGATATCCATCTGCTTTGAATAGAATTCGAGATATTTGCGATTGAAGGAAGAGAGGTCACCTGATTTCAGAGGTGAAATTAGCGCAAAATGGTCACCACAGTTTGGTAACACCAACAGCTAGAGTCTTTGAAAACAGAAAAATGACATATTTTGCCCCTTTAATCAATGTTTTTCAGTAAAATTCACATGGAAATGTGTTTTTATATAGATCTAGACATAAAAGAGGTTGAGCTAAAAATAAACATTAGAGAAAAAGTTCTAAACTGGCAAAAGTTATATCTCCGACATCTGTGTTTTAATGAGCGCCTGATTTCACCACGTTGCCTCGTACATGAATCAAGTATTAAGACTTAAACAACCCTCTGTTAGAAAATTTACAGATGATTTCCATTTTGGAAGTAAATGACCCACAACAAAGTATACTGTGCTTTCCTACAAAGCTAATGAAAGCGAGTCCAAGGCAATTTACTTGTAAGTATTTTGAGAAAACTGTTTAAGTGATTGATAATGTCTGTGAGCTTTTAGATGAAGAAGAATTACAAGAACTTTTTCCTACTTCACACATATATAATATAGAGATGAGTCGAATCAAAAATCCTGCTGAAACACATAGCTCAGCAGGTTCACAACCTTTCTGCGAGTTGCTTTAGTTATTTCCCTGCTGCAGATGTCTTTGCCACACAAAAATCTTCTCTGTGTCAGCAACACTAATGACAGAACTTTACGATGAAAGTCAGCGCATCATTCTCAGCCATTTGAAGTCGTAAAAGACAATACGATTTGTAAAACTGTCCATTTGACAAGAGAAGCTGTAAGAGCCAACACAACAAAAAAAACAAAGAAGGGTGGCCCAGTATGTGATAGATACCGGACTTCAAGTGTGATTTTGTTGAGAAGAAGAAGACTTACTTGCTACTTTCCTCGCCAGAAGTCACTCCACCAGTCACTGACTCTAGACGTTGTAATACTTGTTTCTTCATCTCAGCAACTGGAAAGATGGGAATACAAACTTGGGAATATAACTGATTTAAATTAATTCTATTATCTCTACCTCAAAAGTGAGTTCACCTTTTATTCCTATTGGAGCCAGGAATACAATCGACTCACTATCTATGGGACCATTCGAATGTAATTACTGTTCTAGATAATCTCACCATTTATTTATCTGTCAACCTACAAGCGTATCTTACATAAACTTATTAATCCATCTATATTTCTGTCTACCTATCTTAATCTATCAACTTTCCATTCATGTACCTGAACACCTGTTTAACTATCAAGTTATATGTACATAGATTGAGTTATCCTTCCTTATCTTCTCCTTTTCATGTCTATTTGATAGTCCATCTGCAAGTCTAGGTTAGCCCAGCCCCCCATTTTCATCAAGCAAAAAGCATGTCAACCTCTGTCATGAGTCTTTTTTCCTGTTCTTTTCCCTCTCTCCTTGTTTGCCCTCTTCTCCTAGTATTCAGATGTGTCAAAAAACCCATCCAAGTCTTAATAATCATCTTCTCTCTTTCTACACTCACTCTCAGGATCCCCGTTCTCCTCCGCCTCATCCTCCGAGCTCTCATTAGTGACAAAGAACTCCTTCAGGAACTGGGCAAAGTCTCCGTCGTGAGAGACCAGCTCCTCGTAACTACCCACCTCTGTCACCTCGCCGTCCCGGAGAACCACGATTTTATCCACCATGGGCAGCCAGTGGACGCCATGAGTCACCAGTATACGCGTCTGTTGAAGATAAGACAAGATTTACTTCACTGATCTGCCATTAAAAGAGATTGAAAATGTGCTTTCACCAGCTTCTGCGACACAAAATATAAATACATAGATTCATATCATCAACACATCACAGGCTCCCTCTCTCAGTCATAAACTCAATCCCTCCTCACTACTAACACATAACAAGGTAGAAGTATGGTCAAACACAGGGAATATGACATTAGAGTTTAGACTGATCATCTCTTAATAGTGGTCACCTGCACTAACGGGTAACTGTTTCGTGATACACTTGAATTTTTCCTTTATTTTTAACCTGTCCATAGTGATCACTGTCTAAGACAGCCACGATCAGTCATTTTTGCAACAAGTTTGCCCCAAAACCTGCTCATAATGGTCATTTGCTACAAGTTTTCCGTTAGCCCATCCTCAGTCTGAGAAACGTTCGATTACGGAGAAGAAACTCTTAAGATAAGTAAAGATTTGGAAATGGTAAGATAAAATTAAGGTTTGAGATTTGTTGACAAGTCAAGTAAGTGACATTAACTCAGACCCTACCCATGGCCGAGACCTGCTAATAACCCTCACTTTTCCCTGAGATCTTGAATAACCATTATGGACTTTATTAAATAGATCTTTTATTAATCATGTCTGACCACTTTTAGCAAACAAAATGGTATCTGAGATAGAAGAGGGCACAACAATTTGAAGAGGAAGGAGCTGGAATATGAATATTTCAAAACACAACATGACTCAATTATGGCAAATGGGGTTAAGCCTTGTCAAGACAATATGTTTGAGCGTCAATTTCAGCTTGGCGTACTGTCAAGAGGAATAAGCATTCTGCCTTTGATATGACCCCCAGAGCACTTCACTAATACAAACATGCTCTTCTTTATCATCTCTTCTTTGTTGAGTCTCATCTTATTTTTGTTTTTCTACCTATCCTAATGGTAAAAAAAATTCAGCAGGTACTAGATCAGTATCAAGAACTTTTCAAGTCTTTCTTATGTCATCTCACATCTGAACCCTCCACAAACGCCAAAAACATGGAAAATGCCCAAATGTACACGAACATTACTTTTTATATACTGTGACTTATAATACGATACATTCATTGATCCCTACTGACAACAACAAAACATCGGCCGCTATAATATCAATTTCACCATGAAAACAAACAAGCGTCCCTTTCTTTTTTCTCTATCATGTCTTTTCTTCTATCACTAGATGTACCTTGTCTCTAAGCACTCCCTGTCGGCCGATGACTTTGTGAAAGATGTGTTTTCCCACGTGACTGTCCACTGCGCTGAGCGGGTCGTCCAGCAGGTAGATATCTGCACGACTGTACACAGCACGCGCTAACGACACACGCTGCTTCTGGCCGCCAGAGATGTTGATGCCCTGACAGATACATGACAGACATTGTGAATATTGAATAAAATATAAAATTGAGTGTGTAAAAGTAATAGATTTCAAAGGCCCACTAAACAGTAACAGTTCAGGATATGGCAAACCTTCTGCACTAACTGGTTTACAACAATATCTCTTCCTTATACATACTCTGCATTTCAACAGTTTTATTTTATTTCTATTATTGTGAGAGTCATGATTTGAAAGAAACTTGAAAATATCTATCCAAAACTCAATCATACAAAATGACAAAATAATAAGGCAAGCTTTCAATGTTTAGAATTTATGATTGAGCACCACGAGGAAACAAGTTGTTGAGGTCACAAATTTGGCTTTGATATCCTATGGCATTCAAATTCAAGAATGGTGCAACAATAATCATGATGTAAAAACGTGTCAAAGCACATTTACTTCTGTTCTAGTCTGTTTTCTGGTAAAACGTGGTCGCTTTCGTTCTGACTCATCATTAACTACAATTTGATGCTTGGAAGTGCACATCTCATAAATGGATAAGATGTTTCACCTTCTCTCCAATCTCAGTCTGGTCCCCTCCGGGCAGAATTTCCAGATCTGACTTGAGGGCACATGCTTCTACCACCTTGTCATAAAGTGCAGGTTTGTAGTCAGAGGTGAAGAGAATGTTGTCTCTGAGAGTCGCATTCTGGATCCAGGCTTCTTGAGGAACGTAGGCCATGCTGCTCTGTGGGTTCAAGACTCGGGGTTAGGGGCGGTCAGTGGAGGGTCAAGGGTCTGTGAACTGCATGGTCACGTTTCCACATGGCACAGACCTTCCCTCCTCTTCATCATAAATCTATATCCCCCTGTACATCATTTCCAGCATTACAGCATCATCATCGTCCTCATCATCATCATCCTCATCATCACCGACTAAACAATTTTCCTTTTTCTTGTTTTGTTTTTCTGGTTTTGTTCTTCTTGAAACATAACAATTTGCACCATTTCAACACATTTGTACGTAACCTACAAATTTTGGCACCAAAATCAACACGAAAAAAAAAAAGAAAAAAAATATATCTCCCTCTCCCCTATTTGTCGTTTTAGCATTTTCCTTTCCCACCTCCTTCCTGGCAAAACATGAACTTTATCGTGTTAACTTGACAAAAACTACACAACTTTATACAACAACCCCAACACCCTCACACACTGAAAAAAAAATCTGCAAGTAAACAATTTCACTACTAAGACTTCATTCGGAATATTAAACTGCAAAAGAGGGTAATTTAATCTTGAGAATGGTCTTCATCAGCGACATCAAAACCATCATTATCAGAAAACAGATTTGATCTAACAGTACCTTGACAGTCACTGAGCCAGAGACTTTGTTCATCTCTCCCATGATTGCAGAGAGCAGAGAGGATTTGCCTGATCCAACAGAGCCTACCACAGCCACCAGACTGCCGGGCTTCACCTCCAGACTGATGCTATCATAAAGGAGGAATATTAAAATAGATGAGATAATTTGAAATGAGGTGAGGTGAGGTGAGATGAGATGACAGATGATGAGATAAGAAGAGGTGAGGTGATATGAGATGAGATCAGATGAGATGAAACGAGATGAAATGAGATAGATGAGATGAGATGATATAGATGAGATGAGATGAGATGAGATGAGATGAGATGATATAAACAAATTTTACTGATCCACAATAGAAATATTAAAAGCACTATACTTGGGTTAAAATAAATCTACCAGGATATTTAGCAATAGGATACTTCACATACAAAGCAATGGTAAAATGTGATAAAGAACAAAGGGGTCACTATGAAGCCAAGCCAGTTTATGGCTAAAAGAATGCCATACTATAAAGTAGTATTTTAAATTTAAATTTTAACTTTTGACCAGTACTCGGTGCATCACAAAAAAACAATGAACTACAATATGCTACTATACGCCTCTGGTGGGTAAACAGTTGAATGCAGCAAAAGTGACAAGTCTCAGAGTATGTGGTTGTAGCCAAAAGTTACAGTAACAAGTAAATCTTTCTTTCATTTAGAAACCTACTAACTGGGAATTTACTGTTCAGACACGATTATAATGGAAACATTTCCGATAGCAAACAGGCTAATAACTCACAGAAAGTCTGCTAAAATAGAATTCAAATAAGCAAAAACATGATTTGGAATTTATGAGTTGGTTGTCATTATAGTTAAAGGTTGTGAAATACTTACTTGCGCAAGGTGGGTACTGCCAAATCTTTGTCCCATGTGAAAGTACCTTTCTCCACTTTGACAGCATTTTCTGTGAAGCAAAGAGTAATGAATGATTTATTCATACAATATGTTAGGACTACGCTGATTAAAAAATGTACTCTATGTAAAGCATGTCTTTGCTTTCTGGGTTCATGATTTACGAATATAAGCACTTCCTCAAAATGTTAAGACAAACATCTGAAACATAATGTATCTGTTTTAAGTAATGCAGATAGGTTTTATCTTGAAGTAGAAGAGATTGGAAGCAGAAAGAAGGACGAAAACATGCATGTCAAAAGACTCTCACATATATAATTAAAAAAATTATAAAACATTTTGTCCATACCCTCTCCTTCTTCTGCAAATGTGTTTTTCATGACGACAAGCCTCACCTGCTTTGCTGTCTTTGATTTGCACATCAGGGTCAATGTCTGGCTGACGAAGGAAATTTCTAATTCTGTTGATGGACACCATCACCTGAATGTGAAGAAATAGTAAATAACAATAGATTGTTCGTTTCTTTCCTCTGAAGTTTTTGCCTTCCTCTTGCAGATAAACAGTTCTAAATCCTGTATGGTATAACCATCCAACGGCATCGAACAAAATTATACATCCCCATTATATTTCTAATGACAATTATCCCCGTCCAACCGTATATATTTTGTAGCTGAGAGGACAAGAAACCAAATTCCGCTTTCCCGTGACAATTTGCTGTATCAAATTGACAGTCGGTTAACTTATGAGATGTATTGTGAGACCTATTGACCATATCTCTCCATTGGAGCATATCAAAGAGGTCAAGATCTGAAGGGAGGGAAGCAGTACCAGGGCAATCTATTCCCTCAACGTCTATCCCCTAGGAAAAGCCGCATCATGCTTACAGCTGTAAAATCGTCTGTTGAGACGCAAAAGACCATAATATTATCTAACTTGTTAGAGATAATAAGAAAATAATTCTAAGAAAGAGGGTGGGCTAGCAAATTTAGACGGATGATCCTCAATCTTCCATCACCATATGACCCCAAAAAAAACCATCCGAACTTTCTTAAAATTTTGCTTTTGGTGTCACCCCCTCAGATAGCAACATGTATTGGTCTGCACTATTGCACCCCTTGCCAACAGTTTTGTTGCATATGGAATGGCATTCAGTTCTGGGGATGTCCTAACAAAGGGATAAGATAGAAATGTAGCATACATACTGGCAAACATTTCTTTCATTTTTACTGAGGGTAATCATTTCGAGAGCAGTATTCTAAAAAAACAGAGGGTTTGCATCTTTAGATCACATTCCAAAGTGCTGTTCTTTTCTGCAGTTAGTTGAAAATTTTATCAACAAGCATGGGAAGCTCTGACTTCAAACATGTATTTGATATGGGGAACAAAATATATTTCCAAAAGATCTGCATTGAGTTCAGTTGAGAATCAAACTTCATCAAAACTTAACAAATGAAGGGAGGTTACCTGTATGATGAGCGGTAGGACAAAAGGCATCATATTGAGTGAACTCATGAGCTGGCCAAACAAAGAGATAGAAACAAAAGCCTTGGACGGGTCCAAATAGTCATCAGTGATGAGGAAAACACCGAAAGATGCGACTTGAACCTGCAACAATTGTTGAAACAGCCACTATTTACAAAACAAAAAAATAACAAGCTTTTTATCATGAGAAAAATAGAAAGTTAAAAGAGAAAAATAAACTTTCTGTTTCGGGTAAACACTGATAAAAGTGCATGATTAATGATAGCATTATGCTGAGGTGAGCCAAAATGGAAAGAAGAGAAAGCTAAGATTCAAGGATTCTAGAGAACAAAAGAGAACAGAAAAAAGGATTTTTTAAAATCAGCAACTGAGCTTTGACAAGTAATCAAAGTAATGAACATACCCTTTATTTCACAGAATGCTTTTTTTAAAAACATTTCAACTATCGCTTATTCATTCCCAATTTAGAGTTGACAGCATTTTCAGCAGGTGGTTGCAATTAGAATAGTAGATTGAGAATACAAATCGAGTCCTCTTAGCTCATTTAATGTGAAAGGTATACCATAACTGTTATGTTCTTTGATCTCCATTATGATTTTGCATCAGGTTTGAGCCTTGAGCTGTATGCGCATCCCAAGTAAAGAAATGGTGACAAAATAATGTTGAATCTACATTTTCAGATAAAACGTTATTGAGGCCATCAATGAGTTCGGAATACACGCAAAGAAAAATGTGGGTGGTTGGCGGGTGTTCGGGTGTGGTTTGCTCTTTCTTTCCTATCATATATTTATCCTCCTTAAGTCTCCTCCTTATTTTTTATTTTTGTTCGTTACTCGCTGGTAATGCCTCTTATCTTTGGTACTCATAAGACCTAATTGTTTTGCAAGTGCTGTAAAACGCTGACATTAACTAACTTGTATTCTTGTGTCTGTCTTGCTGGTGCCATAGGTGATTGGAGTGTGCAGGGCAAACTGTTAGCGCAGGTGGTTGGAGGGTGCAACTGGTAGGTCCTACTTCTTTACTTTCCCCTGTCGTTTCTGTCTGTCTGTCTTTTTCCCAGCACTAAATGATCGCGGGTGATTGGCGGGTGCTTTGGTGTAGTTTGCTCCTTCTTTCCTATCAAACATCTATGGTCTTTATCTCTCCTCCTTCTTTGTGATGGTTACTCTCTTGTAACACTAATCTTCAGCACTTATATGACTTTATTGTGCGGCAAATGCCGTAAAACTCTTACCAAAATTAAACAAAAGAAGAATAAAGCTACTAAATGCAAAACTCACTCAGCAGGTCAGGAAGATCGTGGGTGGGACATAGGCCTACATTTTAATGCGTTTTTGTCATCCCTGTTCTTATCATGGTTGTTGTTGCAAGTGTTCACTGAAGTTGTTACTGAATCTTTCCTCCTCCTATCAGCTACACTTTCTCCAAATCTTTTTTCATTTTTTACTCTTCGTCACTACATCACACAGTAACAGTAAATATGGCCTTTCTATACCTGGGCATGTATAGTGGCGTCTAAAAGAAACTTTAAAATGTAATAACCTAACCATTGTGGTATAGCCTTGAACTACCCGCTTGTCCAGCATACCAATTTAAAGCTAATTAAATGCTGCACCTTACGACACCATATTAATATTTCATCTATGTTCAGAGACGCCTAAGATATTTTCACTCAAAACTGACCTTAAAAAATCAGGCTAGGCAAAATTGTGCAAAATCAGAGAAATGTAAAATTGTTTATGATCGCATATTGATGGGCATCAACATTGGTGGAATGGACATAGACATCTCCATGCATAGCAAAGCATTTTCTCCCAGTGCCATTGCCACTAGACAATTCTTGGAAAACCAGATCAAATCAACGTTTGAGTGGTCACCAATAAATAGCCTGGATATGAGTCCTATAGGAATGTGAAGTCCTATGAAACGGCAGCTGAAGAAAAGCGACTTTGCTCCCAATTCAGACCCTTTGTTTGCAACTCTCTGTGACATTTGGGAAGAAATGACAAATAATGATGTCCAAAATTTAATAGTCTATGCCCAAAGGGTTCGTGCATTACATAAAACCAATGGCTCCTAAGCAAAATAACAATGAGCACATTTAATGTTCAGTCCAAGTTTTGTGTAGTATTTCTGATTGGTTAGTTTCCCGATTTTTTATTTAATCTATCTTGACAAAATATCGTAATAAAAAATTGTTTATAGCAGAGATAATATTCCCCGTTCTTTGGATATGCAACGTAAGTCCATTCTATCAATTTTACCACCCCTCAATTCACGTGTGACGACAATTTAATATTTCTTTGATTTCGCAAAATTTTGCCAAGCCTGATTTTTAAGGTCAGTTTTAAGTGACCATATCTCTGGCGTCTCCTATCATAGACGAATTATTAATGTGTCAGATGGTGCAGAATGTATTAAGCTTTAGATTGGTATGTTTCAAGAATGGGCAGTGCTTTAACACGATGATAGAGTGATTAAATGTCCAAGTTTTTTTGGGACGCCACTGTATACATAAATATATAGTGAGCTTTTAAGCTGCTCTTTTAACTCTGTACATAATATCTACGCTGCAGCCGAGATACTAAAGTCTCTTTTTTTTTTTTTTTACTAGATCTGTGTTATTGAGTTCCATTTCTTCAAAATTTCAAATTCGTTTTTCTCAAAACTGTGAAAGGTGGATAGATAGATAGATAGATAGATAGATAGATAGATAGATAGATAGAT